AAATGGAAAAAAAAAAAGGGGGGGTTGGGGAACGGGGGGGAAAAAAGGGGGGATTAAGAAAAAAAAAAAAAAAAAACACTCATAGACACAGATAACAGTGTGGTGATTACCAAAGGGGAAGTGGGGTGGGGGAAGGTAGAAACAGGGATAAAATGTGATGAAAGAAGAGTAGATTTGGGGTGACAAACACACAATACAATATACAGATGTATTATGGAATTGTACACCTGAAACCTATATAATTTTGTTAACCAATGCCACCCCAGTAAATTCAATAAAAATTTAAAAAACTGAAAAAAAGAAAAAGACAGTTTGGGGAATTTAGCCCACAAGAATATTTCTTAGATAAATAAAATAAATGGTCTGCTTAATTTTTAATTTAAAACACAATATGAGCTGATAAAGTTACAAAACAAATATCTCAAATAAGAGACACAATCTGTTTCTTAGATTGCTCTTTTTTTCTGAAAAAAAGAAAAAAGTCATGATAACATGTAGCTCTGATATACAACACTGGTAAGAAAAGTTAAAAATGAACAACTCAGCAGCTGCCTCCTACTTTGATTTGCATGTCAAGTGATTGAGATGAAGAGACAACTTCCACTCTCTGAAGTACAACTCCTTTCTATTTTAAGTATTCAAAACTAATTATTCCATCAGCTTTGACTATTTATATGGCTCAATAAAATAAGAAGTTATCAATCTAATTATTCTGTCATCTAAATAACTGATAAGCTCACCCTTATTTCATTGAATCTGAAAATAATAATTTACTGCATAATTTGAATCTAGCAACTATAAAATGTAAGAAATTATAAATGAAGTCTTTGCCGATAAGAACTTATCAAGGAGATACCATCATCTCCCACTGGAAGTACTAGGAAAGCACTCTGGTCCCTGTGAATCTACTGTCCGAACTGCATAAAGGGTGATTGTTACCAATGGAGATTGTTACATCTGATTATGTCATCACCCTTCCTGCCCCCAACCCACAACTAAAGACATGAAATATTTCACTGAATTACCAGTGCACTTAGCTATAGACACAATCCTTGCCAAAGTTGTCAGTGCTGTTCATAGTCCCACCCTTAGTTCCCAGCCTCACCTCTCACTATGCTCCTCTTCTCTCTGCTTCAGCCACAGTGGCCATGCTTCTTCCTCTAGCCTTGCTGTCTTTCCAAGTGTGGTTTTCCTTCATCAGGTTAGCTCCTACTTCAGATATCAGCATAACTGTCACTTCCCTGACCCATCTTTTTAGGTTAAATTATTTATTCATAATATTTTATAGCACCAGAAACCTCTCCTCTGTGCATAGAAGTTAGAGACACTTTTATAATTTTGTTATTAATTAATATCTATCTTGCTCTCTAGGTTATAGGCTCCAAAAGTAGAAAAATCATGCTCAGTTCTCTTCATCATTGTAAAAGAATTGCTTTGCTAAAGAGCCAGAATTCTGTAATTCCTCAATAAATATTAGTAGAATCACTATTATTGTTAACTGAAAAATGAAACTGAATTTAGCAATCCTGTCAATGGAACTTCAGGAAATTCCCTGCTAATGTTAATAATGGATTTCAATCATCAGCTTAAATTAGCCACGGGTTAGTTGATTGTTTGGGTTGTATGTGTTTGTTTCTTTTTATTCTTTTTGAAAAACAAACCTCAAATTGCTCATAATAAAATGAGTGGCTCTAACCATATTGCAAACATTTATTCCTTTATGTAGTCAACAAAATACATGTGAATTAAAAGTTGTTTCACAGATTTTAACCTCACAAGACATTAATGTATACATTTATTTGAAGAGAAATGTAAACCATATTACTTTTGAAAATTCTGATGGCTCACTATGCCCTATTTATGGCAGATCAAAATTGTGCACTTGTTCTGCTCGATAAACTAAATTGCAATTAAGTTTGTGTTTCTATGAAATGGACTTAGTGCTCCTTCATTTACCTGCACTGAGACATTTTTCTTCTGAATATGTCTTTATCCCTTGATTGAAAAATCAGAAGTAATTTTTTTGTTGTTTTGAAAAATAAGCCACTTAACCCTACCAAGTATTCCTCTTATCTACTGTTTTTATAATTTGTTTATTTATTAAACAAGTTGATGAACAAATAAATTACCAAGCACTTACAATGTGCCCATCTCTTTACAAAGTACTTTATGTGCACTATCTCATTTAAGCAATACACCAACCCCTCAATGTAGAAATAATTACTGTATTCTTTTAATAACTAGAAAGAGAAGCCTAGTGCAGTGGGGCCTTGACTTACGAGTGTCCCGACTAACGAGTTTTTTCTAGATACGAGCCGTCTCTCGGCTGATTTTTTGCTTTGAGTGGCAAGCTAAAATTCGGGTTACAAGCCAGCTTCAGATACCCCACCGCTAGTTGGCGCAGCGAACATCACAGTGAACGCCACAACATCAGCCCAGCATCACGTGTCTCACTCGTTCACTTTTTGATTTGACATACGAGTAATTTGAGTTATGAGTTCCGTCACGGAACGAATTAAACTCGTAAGTCAAGGCCCCACTGTAATTGCCTCACCATTATCCTGTTAATAAGGGGAGGGTTAGGGTTTTAGATTAGTTCTTCTTCCCTCCCAAAAGATTATATGAAGAATAAAATAAATAGCATGAAGTGAAAAAAAGATCACCAAATTTTAAGAGTCTTAAAATCCAGAGACAAGCCATGACTCTGACCAATTGACAAGTCACTAAACTTCACAATAGTTACCTTTAAATAAGGAACAGGTGGATTCCAAAACAGTGGGAGAGTAATTGGAAGGATACACTGACACGTTCCCAGGACCAAACTGGAATTACAACTGAAATACAGAAAAGCCATCCTGAATAATCAACTGAAGACTAGATGGAGAGAACCCTGATAACCAAAGACAGGAAGTGGAGACCGCATAGATACTGGTAAGAAGTATGGAGGCATGAAAAGGCTGGCCCGGCACCCACAGACAGCAGCTGAAGTTCCGGAGTGATAACTCAGCTATGAGAGGTTCCAAAGAGAATTCTGGTGTCTAAACCCCAAGTTGGGCCCCCAGGCCAGAGCACTGAGAACTGAGAAAGGTGCTCACACAAAGTCTGGCTGTGAAAAGCAGCAGTGTTGCAGTCTGCCGGGGAGCGGTGGTTGGAAATGCAAGCAGACTCTTAAAGGGTCAAAGCACAAATTTCATGTGCAGTCACTCACTTGGGCTCCAGTAGAGGGAGTGTAGTGTGCACTGGAACTGTGTGAGGAGAGTCCAGGTTTGGGGCTCTGGGGTTCGAGATCAGATGGCAGCCAACCCTGTTTCCTGTGATGAGTCATTTCCTCACACTCCAGAGAACCTTTGCCATCCAGATGGTTTTTGCATGAGTTGAAGGCACCTCCCACTGTCTTTGATAGCCTGAGGCTAATTAAGACTAAATGTGAATGGGACTATAGGCACAGGAAGATCTCTGGAGGCTTTGAGTTTTTGCTTGGTCTCCATCTGGCCCCAGGTCTAGGAAAAGCAAATGCCGGTGCACATCTTGGTCCTTTCCAAAGGCACCCAGTTCCAGTGGAGGGAGCCACAAAATGTGGATTGCTGGTAGCTCCAAATAGGATATTCAGGGCCAGTGACAAACAGTGTATGATATTGTCCTGCACTGGAAATTGGGAGTCATAGCAGATCTACCTAATACATAGATACAAACCCAACCTGGCAGACAAAATAGACAGACAAAAAAAAAAAAGCCCCAAATAAAAAACAAGAGAATTCTCCAGAAG